ACAGACAGACAGATAGATAGACAGACAGACAGACAGACAGACAAAGAGACAGACAGTCAGACAGAGAGAGAGAGAGACGGACGGACGGACGGACAGACGGACAGACGGACAGACAGACAGACAGACAGACAGATAGATAGATAGATAGATAGATAGATAGATAGATAGATAGATAGATAGATAGATAGCTAGATAGATAGATAGATAGATAGATAGATAGATAGCTAGATAGATAGATAGATAGATAGATAGATAGATAGCTAGATAGATAGATAGATAGATAGATAGATAGATAGCTAGATAGATAGATAGATAGATAGATAGATAGATAGCTAGATAGATAGATAGATAGATAGATAGATAGATAGCTAGATAGATAGATAGATAGATAGATAGATAGATAGCTAGATAGATAGATAGATAGATAGATAGATAGATAGATAGATCTTTCTCACCTGGCCTTGACTCAGAATGAAGATTTTGTCTCCTGGATTTCCATTTCGAATTATATAATCACCATTACTGTATTGAGACTAAGAAGAAGATGGATATGGATATACAGAGAAAAATAAAAGCCATGGTATAAAAAAAAAAAGCCGTACATATACTGAAAATATAGTTTTTATATCTGTATTATTTATTTATTTTTTTTTGAGTTGTGATTAATTGGTGCAAACAAACTAAAAGTTGGATTTGATTAAGCTATAGGCAGCGCTTTGAACGCTTCAAGTTGTTGAGTTTATTGATCACATGCTGATCATGGAACAGCAGTGAAATATGATGGTGATGCTCAGTCATACACACCTCCTCCAGTGCATCTGACACTTTCATGAGAACATTCTCTGGAAACTCAGAGAGCAGTGCCACACTAAGAGACACAGACAAACCAGTGTCAGGAAACCAGGCAGCTACATTCACTAGTGTAAATCACTTTAGACTCCCCTAAAGGAAATTACATCTGAGCTGCAATACTAAACTCATGTTTTTCAGTAAACTAACAAAACATACTTAATACACATAAAAATTATAACCAAATACAGATGTTTGTTTAGTTTGTTCTCAGGACTTACTATAGGATACACATGATTTGATACATTTAACTCTTAGTTTGTAGTGCAAACAAACTTTCAACGTCATTTTTATGAGTATATGAATAAATAAAACTGAATTCAGTCTGCATTTATTAAAATTAACATATCATGTCTTCACTGTCTAACTTCCTTATGCATTTTTGAAAAAATACTGAATTTATTAACTGCACTTTCTGGTCAGCCCCGTTGTACTTTGACATTTTCCCCCGAAATACTGGTATGATCCTTCTGACATTATATTTCAGGTCGCGATTTCTGTACAGAAGGTTCACATTTCATCTTCACCCATCAAGCTCAATAGTTCAGCTCTGTTACGGAGGAAAATATCATAGTGATCAAATACTGTTTTTGGCACAAAGCACAAGAATAATGTGTTGACAGCTTTTAAGCCATTTTTGAAATTCTAACATTAAATTTTGTTTTTTGTTAAGTGTTGCCAAACATTATTTTTTTGTCTTCTTCCAATTACAATGTGACATTTGTTACAAGGCACAATGAAACGAGTGATAATACAAGCATTTACTCACAGGCTGTTCATTTGTATTACATGCATAATGAATTATTTAGAGTTCAGTTAAAGAAATGGTTCATTAATATTCTGCTTTGTCAACATTAGAATTCTAGATCTGCTGGCTGCCTTTCTATTGCTTGTATTCGTTGCTATTGTTTTGATTGGTTTTATTGATAGATTTTTTTTGGATTGTGTTATGTATTTTATTTTTTTTTATTTGTTCTGTTTCTCTTGATTGTTTTTATTAATAGATTGTTTTATGGATTATTTTTGCATGTAGTTTAATCATATCTCTTTTTAGGGTGACTTGTAACATTCTATCCAGGGATTACGGATGAAAAATAGCCTTTGGCTAATTCTGGTACATTTACAGAAACGTTTTATTAATGTGCAATGTCCCAGTTAACTAAACAAATAAAAACACTCAAAATAAATGTCTATGGTGGTTATGGCCCTAACTTAAAATGTAAAAATTCAACAGTGAAATTTTTCAAATAAAATGTAAAAATAAATAAATAAAATGTCAAAAAATAATAAACAAAATGTAATTAATTAATTACATTTCAAAGAGCTATTTAAAAATACATACAAATGCCCATGAATACAGTATGCATACATATAAATAAAAAAATATTTCCTCATTTATTTATAAAATGTATAATTCTATTTAAGAAGACAAAAGTATGTCTTGTAAAGGTCTATGTGAATATGGTAACAGTGGCATTAACCTGCGCAGGAAGTGCAAAGACTGTGTGATAGCAGCGAGTCCATTCCTCTGCATGATCCTCTGAAACACCTGACCCTCCATCACCCACAGCCTGCTGTTGACCAGAGCTGCGCACACACACACACACACACACACACACACACACACACACACACACACACAGCAAAGACTGAGAAGAACTGGATTTCCAACAGTCTCTGAACTGACGGCTCTTTGTTTTGGTGAAAGACAAATACGTGATTTCTCTCCTCATGGCTGTGAAGGAGAGGGATCAAAGGAGAGAGCGAGACAGTGCGGCTTTGGTGGATAGACATATAAAGACAAAAAGAGAAATTGATATGGACCGTATGAACTGTATGAGACAAATACGTGTGAGATCTCTGTGGAAAACACCAGACTAGCATGGGTTGAGGCTGATCAGCTATTCTGTTCATCAGAAAACATTATCACACTCATCAATATATTTAAGCTAACATGGGATAAATTCAATGTCCAGGGTAATATGTGAGTTGCCAGGCAATGAATATCATCTGTTTGTTCCTTATATCAGGTCCAAAGGCCACTTTGACGTTTATATATAACGCCTTACATAAACAAAGATCTACCCACATGACGTTTTATAAAAACACTGGTCAGTTGTTTGACCGTGAGATCAAAAATATTGTATAGAAATTTAAAAAGAACAGCATTTATTCAAAATAGGAATCTTCAATATACACTACTGTTCAAAGGTTTAGGATCAGTCCTTTTTTGAAAGAAATTAATATTCAGCAAGGACGTGTTGAATTGATAAAAATACTTATATTGTTAGAAAAGATCTCTATTTTGAGTAAATGCTGTTCTTTTTAACATTTTATTCATCAAAGAATCCTGAAAAAAGTATCAGTCTCCAAAAAAAAAAATATTAAGCAGTAAAACTGTTTCCAACATAGATAATAAATCAGAATATTAGAGTGATTTCTGAAGGATCATGTGACACTGAAGACTGTAGGATTGGCTGCTGACAATTCAGCTTTGCATCACAGAAATAACTTATTTTTTAAAGCATATTCTCTGGGAATAGCCGAGAATTTGAAAATAATCATTACACCCCAAAAATGCAGAACTGGACTGCAATAAACATCATGAACACAGATATGACTCAGACACTGAAATGCATTTTTTATTTATGTTTTGGTCAATTTAACTTGACCAAAAGACATCTAGTGTTATAAGGTCACACACACACACACACACACACATATATATATATATATATACAGTATATATGCACACACATGGATAAATAAATACAGTTTTATGGTAATTTATGTATTTTCTCATCTTTCAATGAAGGCCATGCCTCATGTGTTATAAAACATCTGTCCGCTGGGTTTAAATTAGAGTAAAACATTCAAAACATTTAATGGGGAAATATGTTAAACCCAACCCGGTTTTCTCACGTTTTGATTTGTTGCAAACATTTTTTTATTCAATTCAACCTGACTGAGGAAACTTAAGCAGCATGTCAAGCACAAAAACATTATTTTTCCACTTTTCAAGGTTCCCTCATTTTATCACAGCATAACAGCATCATTTTAGAATGTAAGAAGCATGGGATCATTTTCATGCAAGCATATTTTATTTTAATACAGTTTCAAGGCCAGATCAAGCCAAAAAGCCAAACAGGTTTGATGAGTGGGTATTATTTTTTAATCACGCTTAACTTTAAAGAGATTGTTTCCAACATATCATATGCATCTCTTTGAAATAATATAATATTATAATAATGTATATATCAGTACTGTAATATTGCTGCAGTGCTCATCTTGTTGCTAAACCAATTAACAATAGGCAGGTTCCACTAACATTTGACAACCACAATGTGTCCGAGTACATCTTGTCTTCATTTTGATCAGCATACTTTTTGTTGTTTTATAATTGAAAGCATTTTTCGTTTTCTTTCTTTCAAATAAATGGAATTTGATGTGATATGCTTCGCAGCTGATAGGGAACATTCTCAGAACATTGGCAAGGTTCTCTTCAAATTATGAACAGATATTCTTCCAGTAAAGTTAACAGAACATTCATTCAAGGTTATCTGCTACTTAATAATGTTCTCAAAACATTAGCACAGAAATATTATTCACCCATGGAATGTTCAGAGAACAACATTCCCATAATGTTTGCAAAATTATATCATTAGATGTTTTGAACATTCAGAGAACAACCTGAAATTACATTTTCATAATTTCATTGGAACATTATCAAAATGTTCTTAGTGTTAGCTGGTTGATATGTATCTTTTCTAATGCAATGGCATGCTTACTTTTTTAAGTATGACTTTAATGTCACTGTAATAGTACCTTTTCATGAATTTAAGTTAAGGTCACAAAGCACATGTTTGAAAATGCAAGTCACAGAATCTAAGATCTACGAGCAACTGAGGAAACTGTGTTTATCTTTTACTTAGACCTATAGAGGCGATCAGGTTAGAGAGAGTAAAGTTCAGAAAAGAAACAGAGAGATT